CATCTCTGCCTCTTGTCTTTTCCTCACTGCTACAGTCTCTAACCCATACAGCATAGCTGCTCTCACTACTGTCTTGTACACCTTTCCTTTGATTCTTGCTGCCACTCTTCTGTCACACAACGCTCCTGGCACCTTTCTCCACCCATTCCAATCTGCACTCGCCTCTTCACCTCTTTCCCACACTCCCCATCACACTGGACTGTTGACTCCAAATACTTAAACTCCTGCACCTTCCTGACCTATGCCCCCTCTAACCTCACTGTTCCACTTCCCTCCCTTTTGTTCATACACATGTATTCTGTTTTACTACGACTGACATTGTACTCCTCTCATACATATCCTGAACTACTCTGACATACTCCCCTGCCACTCCAGAATTTATCAATGAGCATCTCAGTATACAGGGAGTTGTTGTGGAAGAGGCAGTGATTTCGTGTTTAAGCAGCAACAGATGCAGCAATATAATAAAAAATATATAAGAATATAACAATGTATGCTGCATGGGAGCAGCATGTGCAGCAGAGTCATTGTGCAATTATGCATGTAACACAAAATCTAGGACACTTTAAGCAGCAACAAATGCAGCAATATAATAAAAGAATATAATAAATGTATGCTGCATTGGAGCAGCATGTGTAGCAGTCAACAGTCAATGTGCAATTATGCATGTGCAAACTGAGAATGTAAACAGTACATCATGTATTTCCTGGTAATAAACGCCTCAGCTGTTTAGGAGTCTGATGGCGGAGGGAAAGAAAGAGTTTTTCAGTCTACTGGTCCTGCATTTCACACTTCTGAATCTCCGGCCAGAGGGCAGAGAATTGAGCAGTCCGTGCTGGGAGTGAGTGGGATCTTTGAGGATAGAGGCAGCTTTCCTACGCACCCTGCGATGGTAAATGCTCTGCAGAGAGGGCAGTGGAGTCCTGGTGATCTTCTACTTCAGCATACTTTCAAATATTTCAGGTAGCAAAATGTTCAGCTCTCCAAGGACATTCATGCTTCTATTCAGAGATTTTCTAAACGTCATGCCTTTGAAATATTTAGCTTTATTTTGAAAATCTTACCCCATTCAAAATTTGACTTCAGCATACTTTCAAATATTTCAGGTAGCAAAATGTTCAGCTCTCCAAGGACATTCATGCTTCTATTCAGAGATTTTCTAAACGTCATGCCTTTGAAATATTTAGCTTTATTTTGAAAATCTTACCCCATTCAAAATTTGACTTCAGCATACTTTCAAATATTTCAGGTAGCAAAATGTTCAGCTCTTCAAGGACATTCATGCTTGTCTTAAGGATTTTTCTAAACCTTATACCTTTGAAATATGTAGCTTTTTTTTTAAACTTTTGCACCATTCAAATGAATGGGAAAATTCTACATCATACTTTCAGCTATTTCAGGTATCAAAATGTTCAGCTCATCAAGGACATTAATGCTTCTGTTCAGAATTTTTCTAAACTTCATAATTTGTAGACTATTTAGTTTTATTCTGAAAAATCTTGCTCCATTCAAATGAATGGAAATATTCTACTTCAGCATATTTTCAGCATACTTTCAGCTAGAAAATCCAATCAGGTATCAAAATGCTCAGCTCTTCAAGGGTGTTCCTGCTTGTATTTATTGCATCTTATCCTTCAGATTATTCAACAAAGAACTTCAGTCATTTCTTCTCAACTATTTTAACAAAGAAATTCAGCAATTTCTACTCATCCTTCAGCTGTTTCAGCAATTCAGCAATTGATTTCAGGCATTTTCAGGGCGATCCTTCATCATCACAGCATCCACACGCATTTTCGACAGGAAATGCATTTCTTTAATTATTATTCTGGTTTCTTCCGTCCGTTCTTTGGCACTTAATTTTTTCAGCCCCTGCGATGGATTGGCGACCTGTCCAGGGTGTACCCTGCCTTCGCCGGATTGCTGGCCGGGATTGGCTCCGGATCTTTCAGCACTCACCATCCATACGCATTTTCTTCAGAAAATGCAGTTCTCTAGTCTTTTATCTGGATTCTTACAGGTTCAGTCTTTAGTGTCCCTTTCTCACTGTATGCTTATAGATATCCTCTGCTGCACACTGTTTCATCCACTCTCCTCACCAAGTTGATTTTCCCCAGAAAGTGGCCTGCTCAAAAAGTTGTTTACCGTGTGTCCATGAACAACATATTCTGTGAGTGGGTGAGACTTACCTTTGTAGGTTACTTTGCTCCAAATCTGTTCAGTGCACTACAGCTCACCTCCTAGGCTATCCAGTGTAATGTAGGCTCCAATGGTCTTTGGGGTTCAAGTGAGTGGTAAGTTGCTTCATGAAGATTTTCACATTCACCCCTGTGTCAGTTTTAAATTCAACAGGGGTTGAGTGCAACAGTAATTTAACAGCCCATTTCTTGGATGAGCCATCTGCTTTATTAACAGCCCCAAGGAAGTATGACAGTAGCTGTTGTTTGCTCTGTGACCTCACTCACTGCTGTCCTATTCCTGCAGACTATACTCCAGTGTCCAGCTTTGTTACATGTGAACTTCTTAGCTGGGCCATGAATTTCCATATTTGGAAATTTTTTCCTCCTTTTGGCTTACCGTAGTGTTTGATGTGCTTGTGAGTCACTTCATGCCCTGCTCCTGCTGTTTCTTCTTGCATATTAACTTGTGAAGTGACTTCCTGACCATCTCTATGGTCAGTGGAAGCATCAGATCCTTCATCAGTTGCAGCCTCCATGACACTTCTTTGTCACGTATTCCAACAACGATCCAGTCTTGGATATTTTCACCTCTGCTCATGCCAAAATCACAGTGCATCGAGAATTCATACAAAGCCCAATAAAAGATTGCCTTCTTTCTTGGTCTTTGCACGCACTGATGGAAACATGCATGTTCGTGAATTACATTCCTTCTTGGCATGAATTATTCATCAAATTTTCCAAGAACTATACCAAAGGCATCTCTGTGTCCATCATCCATGAGTGTAAATGAGCAGTAGATATTTTCTGACTTGCTTCCCATGGCGTATATCAGGCAGCTCGCCTGTACGGCACCATCTTCTTTGTCAAGCTTGGTGGCAGTTCTGTACCTCATGAAGTGCTGCTTCCAGTCCAGCCAGTGGGGGATTAAACTTGGCCATAACTTCTCACCACATTTACTTTTGACACCATGTAAATGATGGCGACGGAAGGCTAACGTGTCTTTTGCAGCTTTATTACAGAACCACAGGTGCTTTTCCTACTGGCTCTCATAAGACTTGAAAAGACAGCCCCCCAGATTCCAGAATGCCCCTGGGGTCTCCTTTTTCACCATCAGAGATGCTCCATGGAATGTGACAGCTCAATGCATCACTATTTCCATATATGACAAAAACCAACAGTGAGTTGCTTCTTCTCATGATTAATGTCTGTTAGTTCTGGATTGTTTTATTTGTCAGTGCTATAAACTTTCATTGTTCAAAAAATCAGAAACACATCAAAGGGAGTTTTTCCTCCCTGCTGTTGCCAAGTGCTTGCTCAAGGGGGATTTGTTGGTTTTTTCCTCTATTATAATAATAATAACAGTAAGGTCTAGACTTTACTTTGTAAAGCGTCCTGAGATGACTTGTTGTGATTTGGTGCTGTACAAATAAAATTGAATTGAATTGAAAATTGACTCTACTCTACTTCTTATGCCTGTAAAAAGTTGAGCCATTTGGATCCTTTGGGGCAACATTTTTAAAATATCAGGGTCTGGTGTTTTGTATTAAGGAAACATGTCACCCAGCGCAGGGTGGGCTTTCCTGATGTCTTTTAATTTGTTTTTGAACAACACTGAATGTCTGTAGCACAGACAAATAAGATAATCCAATTCTGACAGATTGACAGACATTAACTGTGAGTAGAGGCAAATCATTGTTGGTTTTAGTCTGTATGGGGAGTGCTGAAAATACTCTTAATATAGAAAATAACCAGTCTTATCTATTCAGGGTATTTATTCTGTAGCCACTGTAGCCACAAGAGTCTTCCTTACCGTAGTGAGATACCAAAACAATTTTTTGAAAGAGACTTTTGTGTTAGATTGTGTGAATTTAAATGAAGAATAGTGCTTGCCCACACAGATATTAGTCATTACCAAAATTTCACACCCCCTGGAGAGCACCAGTGTACTCCAGGGCTTGCTCACAAAGGAGATGTATATTGGTTTCACTTTAAAATAAATTTTAATTTAGGTTTGACTATAAATCCACCTACCTATATATAGCCACCTACACAAAGTCCCTACAAATGATGGAGCACTAAGCAAGCCATTTAGAATAGCTTCGGGGGTGGCTGTGGCTCAGGAGGTAGAGCGGGTCGTTTCCTAACCGGAGGATTAGCGGTTCGATTCCTGGCTTGTCCAGTCAACATGTCGAAGTGTCCTTGAGCAAGACACTGTACCCCCAGTTGCTCCCGGTGATGTCACTGGTGTGTGAATGTTTGGGAGTGCGAATGGGTGAATGGCCAAATAGTGTGAAAGCGCTTTGAGTATGCTGTAAAGCATAGAAAGGCGCTATACAAATATAAGATCATTTAGAATGACTTAATTGTTCCTCTTTTGACTCACTTGTCATTGTTTTGTACTCTGATAGGATCAGACGGCACAGGAAATGGCAGTGATGAAGAAGGGTCTAAAGCGAGTGCTGCAGGTTCAGAAAGTGACTCAGACAATGCTGGTTCTGCAGACAATGGTATAGATGTGGAGGAGTCCCAGGACCTGGCAGCTGAGGACAACTTAACGGAAGATGAAGAGAAGACCAAACAGCAGCCTTCCTCAGACAGCTCTATTAAAGACGCCCCAGCTGTCACCCCACCCAAAGGGCGACGCAAAAGCAAGAAAACATCAGAACTTGAGCCGGTGCCTGCTCCGGTTGCTGGTACTGGATCTACCTCGATGTCTGGAACTGGCAGCGAAAACACTGAAGAGTCTCAAGCTGAGCCCAAGAAATGGAATTTCCGTAGGAACCGTCCTCTGCTGGACTTCACCACTATGGAGGAGCTGAATGAGATGGATGACTATGACAGTGAGGATGATAATGACTGGAGACCTACAGCAGGGAAAAAGAAAGGCAGAGCTGCCACACAGAAAAACACTGAGGAAGAGGATGGCGGCAGCGCCAGTGATGATGATGACGATGACGACGATGATAATGACGATGATGACGATGATGAGGAAGATGACAAGGAAGATGACAAGGAAGATGGTGATGACAAAAACAACAACAACAACAGTAGCAGTGATAGTGACAAAGAGGTGAAAAAGCCAAAGAAGAAGGCTAAGAGTACCAATGCTTTTGATGAAGAACTTACTAATGACAGCATGTCCCAGGGAAAAGGCAATGAGGTGAGTGCAACTCTTGTCTCACAAGAGCAGACTAATCCTGATGTATGCATATAGGCTGATCTGAAACTGCACGCATCAGTATTTTTAAATGAACAGTTAGTGCACTTGCATACAAACTTGTGTAATTTGACAGGTGTCATTTATAGTGGCAAAGTCACTAAAATTATCACTTGAGTCTGTAGTTCTCCACAGCTCTAGCACAAGCCTTTTTAAGCTTCTTTTATCTCACTCTTTTGATTTTTAGCCTGCATACGCCACACTCATCAACCTCGTTTCCAGCAGCAGGAAGAAACTGCAGCTAGTGAATATAGGGGAGCATTTAGCAGCTGAAGATCTAGTTAAAGGCAATAAGGCCATGTTGTGACGAGTTGACACGAATGGCTTTATTCACGTTTCTAGCCTGTGAGTTTCTGTTGTGTTTTGGTTAGCCATGCTGCTGATGTAGCGTAGTGTACTTTAGCACCAATTCTACCACCAGTGTGTAGGCACTTATAAATAAAAAACCCACTTTAAGATCGAGTACTAATGAAAAAGCTTGGTGTGCCATTATGGTGCCTTAACTGTGGCCCAAATTCAACCGTGGATAACAGTGAATGCTCGTGGTAACAAGGTAAACAAAAGAGTCTTCTTCTCATGGGTGTTCATGACCTGATCATCCCCTATACGTGACTGGTCAACGCAGTGCCTTTGCTGGATGATGTCACTGGCTGGTGCAGTACAATGAGGATGAAAATAGTATAGAAGGTCACACGCAGCTTCAGTTAGAAGTCAGAGGCTCATGCATAGTTCATACACAGTTCTAAGGTAAATTTGAACTGTGCCTCAGTTCATGTGTAGTCTCAGTAGCAGCAACCTCAGGCCCTGTATTTTTTTCCACATCCTCTGGTCATAGTGCAGCACATGTGCAGTCGAAAGATTCCACTTTTACAATGGCACCGGTGGATGTGAGGTAAGCTCATATGAACCCACAGCTGCCTGGAGATTATGACCATTCAAAGAAATCCTTAAACTATCACGTAATACTTTGTTTAAAAAAAAAAAGTCTCACGAGCAAGAGTTTGTGAGACTTGTATATGTCGAGTTACTTCTGCATAGAACATACAGTATGTGCACCTCATTTTATGAGGTTTGGGTCACTTTTAAGATGACAATAAGTCAGAAAACAAGGAAAAGCATGCGCTCTTGGAGCCATCACACATCAAAATTAAACCAACATGATGCCTGCTTTGCACTCAAATGTTCATCTTAAAATTCGTTAATTCCCAATAGTGGTGCTGTTCCCATCATGATCACCTCATCACCTTACTTTGTAAAATGTCCTGAGATGACTTTTGTTGTGATTTGGCGCTATACAAATAAAATTTGATTTGATTTGCTTTGATCACAGCAGCTTTGTTCTTGTTGGGTTCCCTCTGTAAAGTGTAAATCATTGTGCAACAGCTCAGCAGTTTGCATGCAGAAAAACATCCAAGTCTGCAAAGTGATGCAGGAGTTGTCTATAGTGAATATCAGTGCCGCCTGCAGGGTTATATTTCCTAGTATGCACAAGAACTGCCTATGGCAGCATAAATCTTGTACTAATGAGAAACCTTTCTCATTATAACAAGATATTTTGCTCGTTTTTCCGAGATACTTTCACATTAAACCATTTTTCACGTTATTACAACATGTTGCAATGTCTCATTTTAATGACATGCTGTGGGCTGTTTTGTCATAATAACAACATACTATATTTACTCGTAATAACGTGACACCCACACAGCTTGGTGTGAGTGCAACATGCACATCATCTTTGAGCAGCACCTCTGTAGCTCATTCATCATCATCATCATCATCAACTTTATTAATATAGCACATTTATCCCAGCCATAGCTGCCCAAAGTGCTTAACGCAGTGACACATCACAACCGTATCAAAATCAAAACACATAGAAACAAGACAATAAAATACACCGCCAATAACATAATAACAATAAACAAAACAAATTACCAACATCCCCTTACAACAACCCC